ATATATATATATATTTTTTTTATATATGAAACTAAATACATTGCATCTTGAGAAACTAATAGATGAGTAAAGTCGTTACAACGACCAAGAAGCTAAGAGTCGAGAAGTAGCAATAAAAACAAGTTTCAAATAACAAATATACCTCCAAATACTCGTCGAGGCTTTTCTGACATCTGTCGAGCAAGTCCTTCAGATTTGTAAAAGCCGAAAGTGAAAGTCTCCTCAAAGACGACACTCTCGGATCACGAGCTACCTCACCCATAAGGTATCTAAATGTATTTCCAATCTAATTACGAGAAATACAGCACGAGACATGGAAAACGTGTCGTTGAGAAGAAATTCCATGTATTTGATACATTTGCAATCTTTTTTAGAAAGAAAAAAAAAAAAAGATCTTGCTGCAATTTAATTTAATCATCGTCAGATATCAATCACCTAAATTCTTTGTTAGCTCTGGACCATCTGCCAGTATCGTTCGGGGCAGCGCCACCTTCGTAGACTGGCTCCAGGTAAACCCACTTTCTCTGTATGGTACTCAAAGCTTTTATTCGCTCTTCGACCTCGGACAATCCAGCTTCACATCGTCCAACTCTAGCTGCGAACCTTTCGTATCCTGACGCACCCTTTGCTCCCTCCAATAGAAGCCTTAATTCACCTTTTCGTCAGTGAACAAACTTTATTATTGGTATGGAGGAAAAAGGAGAGAAGGAAGGTCTTAATTATTTCATCGATTAGACACCTGCTCTTGCTAACAAACTGCCATACTCCTCGACGAGAGTAATGACGGCATTTCTACTGTCCCTCGATTCTTGTAGCTGAAGATGGGCCGACGCTTCCCAAGATTCCAACTCCATTAACCCTTGTCGGATACCACTTTCTGCCGCAGCTCTCTTCGTTATTTCCTAGAAAAATGATGCAGGTATTGAGACTCTTCTCAACAATTGTATCTTTGAAATTTTTCGATTCTCTGCTGTCTTGTCACTCGAGATTTAAATTATTTGCTTTTCGTCGCGAATTATCAGTCGGTGTCATACGTTGCAATGAAATAACAATTTAACTAGTTTGTTATTTCGATAAAAAGGAAATTTTAAGTTCCCCCAACCAGGAACTGTTATAAACACAATTGTAAATAATTGATAAATCTCTTAAAAAAAAAAAAATAACTCCTGTCTCGAAATTTTTTTCCAAAATTTTACCCTCTTCTTGTTAGAAAAATAAAAATTATGTAATAGGTATTTATACATTTTATACATGATCTAGAAATTTTCTAAATTTCTAGATTCGAAACCTTTCTATTTCAATTATCAGTGATTTCACTATTAAATGAGATCCTGACAAAACTAAGACATACTTGCAGCTTATTACCTTTATTTTGTCAACGTTCTCTTGAATCTTCTGCGCGGAGCGAAACAGGTGACCTAACGTGATGTCCCTCACGCTCTTCACGTCCCTCAGCTCCAACAGTGGCATCAATTCTCCCCAATGTTCATCCGCAACCTCGTCACCGCGAAGAAGTTGCAGCCATTCGATAGTCCCTCTCACCTGGCGAACCTTCTTACCAACGAACGTGCCCATTTCTAAATTATTCTTCTGATCCGTCGACTCCTCTTTCAGCCGATCCTTTAACTGAACTTTTATCCTGCTTTCCCAGGAATCGAGCCAATCGTGAAGTCTAGGTAATCTCCTTCTGGCCACCGTCCACTCTTCGTCCTCTTGATTCTTCAATTCCTCTAAAAATTCCGCTTGGAATCGGCAATTGGATTCCTCCACCTCCAGCTGTAGCTCCAATTTCTTCATGTTCTCCTCGTCGCCCTCTAGAACATCGTCGACGTTCAGTTCGATTTTGCGGCAGTCGTTTCTCAGGACGTCCAATTGCTCTTTCAAGTACGTCCATCTTTCTTTCATCGAGATGATCCAGTCTAACGTGAGGATTTCCGGCTTCGACAGCCACTTTGCTTGCCACCTTTCGATCTCGTCTCGCAGAGCTACCGCTCTGTGACGAAGGTTTACCTTCGCGTCCTCGAGCTCGCGATCTATCACGGCTTTGTGACGCTCTAGGCGATCGGCTAGATCTTGCCAGGCTGTGTACGCCGCGCTGACACCTGTTTCGACGAATTTTTCGAACGATCTTACGCATGGAATGTAATATATTCAAACACACACACACACAAAAAAAAACGTAGCACTCGTTTTTGATTCTGAATCTATTCTAGAATTCTAGAATTCTGTTTCCAAGTCTATGGAACTCTAGTCTATGAGTCTCTTTTACAATTTCATAATTATTTTAAAATTTTTAAATTTCCCTTTCTCAGTCGATTTTGTAATTCTTTTATGATTCTACAATTTTGCTTCTAATAAGCCTATTCTGTAATTCTCTCTAAATTTACAATTCTTCTGCCGAGTCGACTTTATAATTCTTCCTCCGAATTTATTCTATAATTCTATCCTTTTTCAGTTTATTTTATAATCGTCATTCTACAACGTCGCGACAAATCCGAATTGAAATTTGCAACAATATTTCCTCGAAGTAATGACATATAAATATATCGTGAACGATGCGTGAAATCCCGATTAATTAAAATACCTTCGAGTTTCTCGCTAGTCCAAACAGCCAGCACTTTCGACAGGCCAGCAACGGCTTCCATCTCCTCGGCCATGCCAGAAGATTGACCTTCGATCCGTGCATGAGCTTCGTAAGCCGATCCAACTTCCTCCACGTTTCGAGGTCTGCGTTCAAGTTCTTTCGAGGCAGACGAAAGGAAGTCCACGATGGCGACCAGCCTCGAGGACGCTTCCACCCTCAGATCAGAGCACAAACGTTCCCAATAACGACGCGAGGCTGATTCTAAATCGTTTCTGGTCGTTGCTGTGTCCACGGTGATGCACCAGATTTTCACGTCGCTGCTGCGTAACCTTCCAACCTGATTCGATTGATAAGTTCCAATTGAAATAATTTCATTAAATGAATGATTGAACGATTTAATTAGAATTGGAAATAATGGTGCAGTGAAAATGAATAATATTGCCCGCTAACCTCTTGAGCCCACTGTTTCGCGTCCTTGAACGCTCTTGTCCATTCTTGCGGCGACTTTCCTTTCAGCCTTTTCGTTGGAATTTCGATAATTAAGTATAATATAAATGTAATTAATATAAGTGTAATTAACTTATTATATTATATAAGTAACTTTTATATTATATTATTATGTTATATAATTAACTTATTATATTATATATTACATTGTATAAGTATAATTAATTTATGAAGTAATAATATTAAGAAAAGAATTTTAGTCACAATTTTGTGTGAAACAGTTGATTAGAGTATTAGTATCGGAGCCATTGCTTAATTAATTAGGTCACGTGCATAATGGAATTCATCTTGTTCAAGTTGTAAAATGAGAGTGGAAATTTTAACAGGAAGATGGTAAGAAATTGTAGAAAAAAAGAAAGGAAAATTATTTCCTTCTCTGGGAAAGATATTATTCTTCGTAATTCTTTATATCTTTGTGAAAACCTCAAAACTTATATAATCAACTGTCGTATAGTTGATTTTATAATTATTAGAATTTTTTATTTTATAACAACTTGTACAAGTATTTCGTAGCTGTAAAATATTCTTGTTAATTTTGTAAAGCAATTTTAGTTAACCATTGATTGCAATTTAATTGTTAATTCATTTTCATCCAGCACACGTTCCAAAACTAATTTTGAAATCATACTTAAAAATATTACTGTAGAGATTGTTGTTATTCACTACGTGTGTAGATTTTAAATTTATCGGAGAATAAGACTTCAATTTAGTTGAAAAGTAATTTCAACAGTTTTTAAATTTGACTTGAAAAATCAAATTTGAAAACACAAATAGACTTTTCTCAACGAAGGAATTAAAAAAAGAAAGTACGAAGACCAAGATCGTCTCAGGGAACACAGACTTCTGTTTACAT